CTGACTGTTTGCTGTGGAAGGTTGCTATAAACGACAGGGTTTGTAAATCCTGGTTATCAGGAGGCCTGTTCAATTAGAGCCCTCGAAAATACTAATTTATTTTCTTCTCCTCTGCAATGTGTTGTTGCAGCTGCCACCTAGTGCTGATGCTGATGTGTGCAGAGGTGAACGCCTCAAAATCAGCCCTCTGGAAGTGAAAGTTATACAGAAAAGCCAGAGTGGCTCCAAAGTCCATAATTAGTCTCCATAAAGATGAATTCATAATCAAAAATCGTTAGTACCCAAGTTTTACCTCCATGAATGCTAAATTACTTCATTATTTTCCCCTGTTTCCATGGAAATCACCGAGTGCTTCTGGGATGTGAGGCTGTAAAGTATTGCAGCACCTGCTTAGCAAGGCAGAAAAGAATTTTTCTATTACTTTTGTATTTATTATGACCAAATTGTCCCTAACCATGCTGGAAAGGAATAGGGGTGTTAATGAGTACATGACACTTTTGTAATGCTCCTAACATGTAGAATCATAGAATGACCTGGGTTGGAAGAGACCTCATCTTGTTCCAACTCTTCTGCAGTGGGCAGGGACACCTTCCACTCTCCCAGGTTGCTCAGAGCCCTGTCCAACCTGGCCTTGGACACTTCCAGGGATGGGGCAACCTATAGCAGGGCCTCCTCACCTTCACAGTAAAGACTTTTTTCCTAATATCTAATCTAAACCACTCTGTGAGTTCAAAACCATTCCTCCTTGCCCTGTTACTCCAGGCCCTTGGAAACAGTCTCTCTTCATCTTCAGGTATGGGAAAGCTGCTATCCAAATAATAACAGGGGTTGGGCAGAGCTCTTGTTTCTTGTTCTGGATGAAATTTTGTGGGTGGGTTTCCACTGCAGGAGCTGCAGTCCAGCCCTGACCCTTACTGGGAACTGCAGGTAGTAAGGTTGTGTTTGTGTCTGTACAAGCAGTGCCCACCGGTGCTGCGGAGTCCGGGAGAGACAGCGCAATACAGACCCCCCCTACTGATGAATGAATAAAGACCTTTTAATCCCTCTTCCCGGTCTGGTGTGGGCGGCTTCTCCTTGGGTTGGCCTTGTCTCACGTGCCGTGTCCCTGACGTGCCCGTGTTCCCGCAGCGATGTCCTGCCCCGAGGGGCAGGAGTACCGGCAGTGCGGGACCCCCTGCAACCAGACCTGCCGCTCCCTGTCCTACCCCGAGGAGGACTGCGAGGAGCTCTGCCTGGAGGGCTGCTACTGTCCCCCTGGCCACTACCTGGACGAGCAAGAGCACTGCGTGCCCAAGTCCCACTGCTCCTGTTACTATGACGGGGAGATCTTCCAGCCGGAGGATGTTTTCTCGGATCGTCACACCATGTGGTGAGTGTGCCGTTTGTAAGTCATCCCTCAGCGCTGTGGCTCAAATTCTTGGGTAGCTGGAGTGGTTAACTGGGTCAGTTCCTGTCCCTCCAGCAAACCAAGGGGTGAGTTTTGCTGTTGCATCTCTATCCAGTGCCACCTTAGTTCAGAAAACAGTCTTTTAAGCCCCGTTCTGTGAACAGTTCCTGCCAGTTTGAAATGGAGTTTAATTACTGACAACACCCACTCTGCAGGCTTTTAAAATGTCACTTTAATGTACTGTGATACATTCCTTAAACATTAAAACCTAATTACCTCCATCAGAGATACAAATATTAAAGAGAGTTTCTAATTGTTAAATTGAGTGGTGGCACACTGAGAGGGGGAACGTGATTGCTGGGCAGCTCCTGGCAAGCCCAGTTTTGGGCACACTATCTCCTTTTTTATCTCTTTACCATGAAAATCCTAAGTTCCAGGCACTAGATGGTGCCACAGCAAAACTGCCCATTTCCTTGCCCAGCTTTATCCCTGTTACCATGTTAGTGTATCACATCAACTCCAAGGGAAGGTTTGCCTCTAAGGTTGACACACAAAATGGATGGAGAGAACAAATCAGCTCCAATGAGAGGTGTAATTTTAATACTGGCAAGTTCCTTGTTGTCTGAAAACCAAGGTGTTAGTGAAAGCTAAATGTCATTGCATTAACTATAAGCTCTATTTGTTTTTTTTTGGTTTTTTTTAGCTATTGTGAAAATGGCTTCATGCACTGCAGTACAAACAGAGCTCCTGGTGCCTTCCTGCCTGATGTTTTTGCTGATGAAAGACCATCTGCCAGAAGTGAGTATGTCTTAAATAATTATTTCCTGTTTTTTTCTTTTTTTTCCTTATTCAGTTTCTCGATAATGTAGAACAGGGAAGAAGCACTGGAGGTTGCAATGGCTGTGAGTGTTTTTCTAATTATGGTTTTTTTTGGTTATAGGATAGAAACAAAAGTTTTGCCTGAGAGGGTGCAGAACTCATTGACTCTCACCTTTCAAAATCATAATTAGCTACTGTAGTCTCTTTTGGGCTGAAGAGGTTAAAGGAATCACTTGGCAGGGATCTGAGGCCCCCAGATTTTGAGGATCACATGCCATCACAGAGCCAGCAGTGCACTGGAGAAAGGACAGCAGTGCTAGGGGACTTTTCGGGGTTTCCCACTGATAGAATTTATGGGGTTGTGATTGGAGAGGGGGTTTGGGACCGGATGCACCTCAGAGGGGACTGGGCTAGCGGGCCTTTGGAGAGGCTTGGAAATATCTGGGAGCTGGACTTTGATGATCCTTGTGGGTCCCTTCCAACTCAGGATATTCTAGGCTTCCACGATGCCTTTGTGAACACCAGGGGTAGTGCCAAACATGGTGTCTTCCATGGCACTCTGCCAAATGCACCTGTACATGGCGCTTGGAGACAGTTTTTGGTTGGTATTAGCTGATTCCTTAGAGACAAAGGGTCACTGTTGGTCTTTGCATCTTCTGATAAAGTACCAGGCATCCTTTTGCCAAAGCTCCTGGCAGAAAACTCTGCAAATCCAACTGTAGGTACAGGGTAGTGACCTGCTTAATGTCCCTTGGCAGACCACCAGGTTGGCCCACCTGTTTTTCAGGTGAAGCCTTCTGGGTGTATCTCTCACCCGCTCTTCCTTTAATGCTGTTAGGACATGCTTTTCCTGATATCAGGGTGTTTAAAACTTATCAAAACCTCAGAGGGGCATTAGTGCTAATAGTGCTTGAAATAATGACCTGGAGCTGCTTGGGACATTCTGATCTTCTGACAGAATCTGGAAGTCTCAAAGAGCTTGTATTTAAGTTAAGGGTGTTGCTATTTGCAGTCACTAAAGTCATTATACTCAGTGTGGAAAGTGGGTCTAAATACAATCATATGTTATGCTGTTGCTCCTCAGAATATCAATTTTCTGGTGACGTGGTTATTTTTGGAATTGCACTGTTATGTTTAGAGCAGCTTTTTTTTTTTTTTTTTTTTTTTTTTTTTTTTTTTTTTTTTTT